GGGGGGGAAAGGATAAAGCACTATATAAGCTTCCAAACACATCTAAAAAGATGGTACAATTTGCCGTGATGCTCGTTCAAAATGAGGTCCCAAAGAGGACAGGTAAATATCATTCCCCTTACAATATGCATAATACATCCAAGTGAAGAAGTTTATTGGGTATATATTTAATTTGTTTTTTTAATGAGAAAATTACGTGATACATTAAAAATTTACATTATATTTATCATTTGTAACTATACTTTTAGCAAGTTTACCATTCATAACTAATTTGAATTTTAATAGCAAATCTATGATTGTTTTGAACTAAAACAAGAAATTAACAAGCTCTGGTAGCTCAGTTGGTTAGAGGGCCCTCGTAGTTAGCTGAGGTCTTGAGTTCGATTCTCAACAAGAATATTTATTTGTATGTATTTCGCCATAGTGGTATTCGTTACGCGAACAAATACAGTCGATACGGGTTGTATACAATCAATACAAGTTATATTCTTTCTCACATCCTTGTATCTCAACTGGTAAATATTTTTAAATTTTTTTTATATAAATATTATATTATAATATTATGTTTGAATTATAAAATAAAAGTATATGTTCTTAAAATGATGAATGTTAATCCTATATACCCAATCCAATAAAAGAAGAAAATGTTCATAGTAGCTCTCAGTCATTAGTCGATATATTCAACTAAAAGTTTGTTCCAGTTTTATAATTTCATTACTTCAAATGAAAATATGTCTTTTTATCATATTTTTCTTGAATCTTTTTATCACATTGATATGGGAAGAATTGCTACTTATAATACTTTTCATATAATTTTTGAATATCTAAATTTAAAATTTTAGAATATTGAGTTGATCTAATCCATTTTAGCTTTACAAATTGGTTAAATTGACTCCCGAGAAGCGAAAGTGCCGCATAAATTGAGATAGATGGAATACTTTTTTCTCTCACGAGTATAATGCAAATTGTTCTATTTAATTAATTACTAAGAAGTAATACATGAATTATCTCCAACATTAAAAAGAATAAATTATCATTGCTTGTTTTGTATAATCAAATTACAAATATACGAAGAAAAGGTGTTATGAAAAATAAAAGATCTACTTAGACTAAAAAATTTAACCAAAAAATTACTCGTAAGCATTCCTAAAAGTGTGAAAGAAAAAAGGAAACAAGGACACCCTAAACAAAAAATTTATAGATAAAAACAATACTGGTAAACTTTAAAAAAAATACTCGTAGTCTAAAAAATGGAGTGATAGTGAAGACTCCTAAAACCGGAAGTGAATTGAGAAAATTCGAATCAATAATATGATTTTTCATGTCAAAATCCTAAATATTAGGCAAAATAATTAAATGAGTATTTTTAAATTAGGAAAATAATTAAATAATAATTTCTATATATTATGAAAATAATTTAAATTACTATTTTGTCCAATGTGAAATGTGTTTTTAAAGAGTAAAAAAAGGCGAACGACATTTCGCTAAGGCATTCGTGCTTTAATATAATGTAGATATAGATTTATCGAGAAGGTTTAAATTTTGAAATTATTTACATATAATTAAAATAACTCAAATATTTGATATGATTAACGTTTCCGCGGTGCTAATACTAATTTTATAATAGTACCCCAACTTTCAGATCCTGATATGCTGCTTCTGATCATACTTAATTTTAATGCATTCTGAAATAACCAAAAACAAGAAAACTTCTATTTCTGAAAAAAAGATTTTGCAGTAATCCATCTCAACCTCAACCCCCCAAACCCACCCACCCCCCCTCCCCCCACCCAAACCCCCACCTCCTCACCTGAAATTCTTGTTGCCCAAGCAAATTCAATACTCTATAAAATCTCAGTCCTCCATTTTGCAGTTCACATGAACGTGTCAAAGAAGTGTTATATTCCCCTAATATAAGAACGTGTTAACTTCTCTGTGGAGAAATTCTCCTTCCCTCCGTTTAATCCACCGTTTGACACGTTCATTTCTCAAAAAATGTCATCAACCTCTTTGCTAGTTGGTCCACCAGCCCTCCGCTATGAACCACCGTCGACCGCCGTTGAAATTCCCGTGTCCGGTGACGATCCCATAACCAATTTAACTGATAAAACCTCAAATCTCGATCTCTCGAAGCTTCCTCTGAGGGGTTTGACGGAAAACAATTCAGCCACTTTCATATCATCCGGCAACCCATGTTTGGATTTCTTCTTCCACGTGGTGCCTGACACGTCACCCGATGATCTGATCGGACGGCTGGAATTAGCTTGGGCTCACAATCCTTTAACGGCTCTGAAACTGATTTGCAATCTCAGGGGCGTTAGAGGCACCGGTAAGTCTGATAAAGAAGGGTTTTATACGGCAGCGTTTTGGTTACACTATACTCACCCTAGAACCCTTGCTTGTAATGTTCACGCCTTTGCTGATTTTGGGTACTTTAAGGATTTTCTAGAAATTTTGTATAGAATTCTAGAAGGACCATTTGTGAGGCAAAAAGAGAAAGAGGAAAGAGAACAATGGCGAGGTCGTGGCCGTGGTCGGGGTAGATTTAAGAGGGTTAATAGGCCTAGTGAAGGAAATGAGGAGAAGAAGGAGAAAATTAAGAAAAATTTGGAGGAAATAAAGGAAGAAATGAAGGCAGAACAAGAGAAAGCAAGATGTTTGAGGAAGGAAAAAGAGAGAGCTAAGGCGAAAAAGGCGTTAGAAAAATACTATTCTGATGGGAATTATAGGCTTTTACATGATAAGATTTCGGATTTTTTTGCTGAGCTTTTGGGGGCTGATATTGAGAAATTGAATTCGGGAAAAGTTAATGAGATTAGTTTGGCTGCGAAATGGTGTCCGACCGTTGATTCGTCGTATGATAAGGCGACTCTGATGTGTGAGAGCATTGCGAAAAAGATGTTTCCTAGGGAGAATTATAGTGAGTACAATGGGGTTGAGGAGGGTCATTATGCTTATAGGGTAAGAGATAGATTGAGAAAAGATGTGCTCGTGCCTTTACACAAGGCGTTAGAGTTGCCGGAGGTGTACATGAGTGCTAAGAAGTGGAATTCATTGCCATACAATAGGGTGGCGTCTGTGGCGATGAAGAACTACAAGGAACTCTTTTTGAAGCATGACAAGGAGAGGTTTGACAAGTATCTTGAGGACGTGAAGTCAGGGAAGGCAAAAATTGCAGCCGGAGCGTTGCTTCCACATGAGATTATTGGGGCATTGAGCGACGGAGATGGTGGGGAAGTAGCTGAACTTCAGTGGAAAAGAATGGTTGATGATCTTTGTAAGAAAGGAAAATTAAGTAATTGTATCGCGGTATGTGATGTTTCTGGGAGTATGAGTGGGATACCGATGGAGGTTTCTGTGGCACTTGGTGTGTTGGTTTCAGAAGTGAGTGAGGAACCGTGGAAGGGAAAATTGATCACGTTTAGCGCTGATCCTGAAATGCAGAAAGTTGAAGGTGATACTTTAAAAGAGAAGACTGAATTTGTCAGGTGTATGGATTGGGGTATGAACACAAACTTCCAGAAAGTGTTTGATAGAATTTTGGAAGTGGCAGTAGAAGGAAAACTAAGTGAGGATCAAATGATAAAGAGGTTGTTTGTGTTCAGTGATATGGAATTTGATCAGGCATCTGAAAATGCATGGGAGACGGATTATCAAGCAATACAACGGAAATTTGTAGAGAAGGGATACAAAAATGTGCCAGAAATTGTGTTTTGGAACCTTCGAGATTCAAGGTCGACTCCAGTTTTGGAGAAGCAGAGTGGTGTAGCTCTTGTGAGTGGGTTTTCTAAGAATCTGTTGACCATGTTCTTGGAGGCTGGTGGAATCGTTAATCCCGTGGACGTTATGGAGCTTGCTATTTCTGGTGATGAGTACAAGAAGCTTGTAGTTTATGACTAATTAATGTGTGGTTGCTCTATGTGTTTTGGTTTTAGTTTTTAAACTATATTTTCCAATTTTGTTACACCGTCTCTCTTAGATGAAAGAATTATGTGTTACTTACAGTCAACTGGTGACATTAAGCTTTGCTTTTATGGATATGGAGAATACTTGGATAATCTTGTGTTTTCTGCTCCTTCTATTTTGTTTCTTTTTTCAATATGGTGGGCTGAATCCCTATAGCTTGCTTACATTCTTTATTAGATGTATGTTCTGCTATTTGAGCTATGTATGTTATCCATTCTAGTGGTGAGCTGAGGGTCCACCGAAAACAGCCTCTGTGCCTTCTTAAAGGTAGGGGTAAGGTCTGCGTACACTACCCTCCCCAGAACCCACTTGTTGGATTACACTGGGTTTGTTGTTGTATTCTAGGTCCAAAAATAAAAGTTGGATTAAGTCTTTGATAAAACAGAGTGTGCTCTAGGTTCCTCACATAGGGGAATTAGGCATGATCTAGAAGGTATATGAAAGGTTCAGTGCTTTACTAAATTGTACGTAGTTCTTTTCCTTTCATAGTTAGTTTGTTGCACAGGTTGATCTGGTTCCATGCTGTCAAGGAAATGAACTTAGTTTCTTTACCTTGTTTTGTCGTAGAAGTACCCTATCAGAATAGATTACAATTGCTTTGGATTCTTGTTATTTCTTTTCTGAGCCTGAAACAATTGTTTTCTGATTATTGGTTTTTAAAACGCCAGATTGATGTAGTGCAGCCTTGAATCTCAACTGGTATTTATAACTGTACACTTCAATGAGATGAACTGTTAGACAGTCCTGAATCACTAGTGATTTTCTGCCTATGTTGTCTCTTAGTAGAACTCTATAAATGCAGAGTCAAAATCCCGGGTTCTATATGTACAAATCTCTCTTACTAAATGACCTTTTAGGTATTCCTGTTTATACAGTTCTGCTTATTGAAAATGTAGAATGAAGCTAAGTTAAAGTAGTTGTTTTTATAATGATTGTAACATGAAGGAAAGAGTTCAACTTCTGCCCACTTGTGCTCAGGAATTTCAAATCTCTGGTTATGTTAGAACCAGGGAACTTTGAGAACTCAAATTGTTCCAAGTGTAGGTAGGTATCAAGATTCAAGAGAGAGAGGGAAGAGTTTTGCTAATAGAACTTCGTTTGCTTCTCGAGAAGTTAAACAAGATGAACTAATTACAGCACAAAAAGCATTATTTTCATTAAGAAATCATGCCTGCTAAGTCATGTAGTTCCTGTAACAGCAAGATGCTGCAGAAAAATAGTCCTTAATAAAGCTTGAAGTTGAGATTTCTGATAATATTACATGTTGTACTTTTGGTGTTTAGTAAAACTCTGACCTGACACTGTTGTGGAGAAATCTTTTACTACCATTTTGCAGCTTATTGGTGTGTCACATGTTGATTATCAAGCTGAGAAAAACTGTTAACAGGACTCTGGTATGAATGTGATACAGGCATATTCAACTTTTGGTAAGTCTTTGGTGTATAGTGAGTCCCTATAGGGAGTAGCTCTACTATAAAAACTGCGCGAGACGGATAGGTCTAGGTCTAATGAAGAGTGGATGCAATATATGATTGATATACAAGTGCTTTACCTAGACTGGAACTGAGGTTTCAAGTTTACTGTTTGGCCTTTGGTTCTCTGCAGCTGGTTCATCTTGAAGAAGTTATGAGCATTTGAGAAATGGGATGTATTTACATTACTGGTGTTTTTACATAAGTTCCTTACGAGGACGAGCCAAATTAGGATAGAGGTCGAGGCTATGAAATTGCCAAATTCAGAGAGATATTAAAAACCACGTGAAGTTTAAGGAAGAACTAGAACTAAACGAAAGTTGCCAAGTTCAAGGGGATCCCGAACTATTCTGCTTTTTTTCAAATAACTTTTTGCAGGTGTAAACAGGAAGTTAATACAAAATCAGGAAGTTAATACAAAATCTTAATAGACGTGAAAACATCTTGTGTGATCTAGGACTATGATGGTGTGAACTGTTGGCTGGAGTGGCCTATATATGGGACCATGTGGGGTGTTTGCAAGAATGTCTCTAAAACATTAATATAGATTCACAAAATTTAAATATAAAAGTTATATAAACCTCACAAATTTGATGCTTTTCCGCCTCTATGAGCACACTTTAGGGCCAGTCATGTTGCTTGTCTCTTTATTTGCAAGGTATTTCGATCGAAAAACCAATCACCAAGTGCCATTGCAGTTGTCTACAAACCAAACCAAACAAAACAAAAAGTTAATAGTACTATTTAAGGAGAAATGAAAAGGGAATTATTTTTATAAGAGAAAGAATGCTGCAGTTACCTTATTATTAAAGGAATTTTTACACAAATAGCGGGCAATATTTACTGTTACTTTTCTAACCATATACATAGATTATATGTTGATTATACACATATAATACATATATATGACCGACTATTTTTAGTTTAAGCGATTGAGTGTGTGACTATTTGGTTTGCTCTTCATTATTATTAAATGACAATTCCACCTCTTATCTCTTTGTTTGTTAATGTATGAGCAAGAATCCAGGACCATTCCTCTCTTTGAAGTATATAAGGATTAATTTAAAACCTTTTTTCTTCTTATAAATTTTTATAAGATGGGGCTCTGGGATTAGGAAGGGGACTGTGAGAATTAAATTCACACTCATTGAGTGAAGAATTCTCACCACTACAATTAAGCTACAAGTTTTGGTAGACTTTTTAAGAATTTTGCATTTTGGTTAGTGTTATAGTGTTTTAAGTGGGGTGTCAGTTATTCAAAAAGCTGGGCAAGCTTCATACTCAACTAAGGTAAAAACTCACTCACATTAGATGTTTATACCAAGTAATGAATACATGAAATATGTCTTAACATACACTACTAAGTCCTATCACGAAACAGTTGTTAATCATACATATACTCATTTTAAATTATAACCAGATCATGATAAGTAGCATAGTTTGATATAAACATCAATTGATGTTAGTTTTTACCATAGATCAATCGTAGCTTATGTAGTGGTCAGCCTTATAAAGCCTGTCAAGCACCGAAGTATGTGGCCTAGTGGTCAATGAAATAGGTGAGAATCATAAAGTCTCAGGTTCGAATTTCAATAGAGGCAAAAAATACTATGTGATTTCTTCCCATCTATCCAAGTTTTGGTGGATAAATTTACCTGATACTTGTTGAGGTGCGTGCAAGCTAGCCTGAATACCACAGTAATAAAAATAAATAAAGCTTGTTAATCCTCGCTTCCCTCTCCCCTTCACTTATTAAGTGGAAAATAGTTTTTGGCTGAGCTCTGCTCAAACAATAAACAAATTGCCTTAATACAGATTATTGGAGAAGAGGAACAAACAAAAAGATCAAATGCAAAATTTCATAAACTTATTTTGACAATATATGAAGGACGTCCATATTTAAATTTTTTCTAGATATCAAGACGGAATTAACTTTTTTTTTTCCAAAGTTATCATTGGAGTAAACCGTAAAGAGTCTAGGTGCAGTTTGTTATATTTCCAATGAGCAAATTAAGGTTAATATGGTCAAATTTATTGTTAATTAATACTAATAAGGTGAATTTCTTAATATTTGTGAAAGAGCAAAAAAAAAAAAAAAAAAAAAAACTTAAAGTGGACGAGAGGGAGTATGTTTTAAAGATACCAAAAAATCTTTTTTTTTCTTTTTTCTTTTATGATTAGCAAATAATCTTAGGTCTTTAATAACATTGCATGCATTTTTCCTAATGGTAATAAAAATAAGAGGAATTAACAAGACCAAAGAAAATAAAGCAAATTAACTATAGATGAAAGAAACACAACTACAGAGACGAATACAAATATAAGAGGAACTCATATTTCTCATTAATAGATATAGAAATTAAAGAGCACATCTCATCACAATTTCAACAATTTTTTTCACAATTCAATCAAAAACCACAAGCTTTTGATATTCTTCTCCAGAAATAGCTTGCATCATTACAGCTTCTGGATTCAAAATCCCACCTTCTTCCAAAAACAAAGTCACAAGATTCTTTGAAAATCCACTAACAAGTGCCACTCCTTCTTGTTTACTAGGTACTGGTGTTGCCTCTGAATTCCTCAAATTCCAAATACAATTTCAGGCACTTTTTCATAACCATTTTTCTTAAACTTTTTTTGTATTACTTTATAATCTGTATCCCATGGCCTACTTGAAGCCTGATCAAATTCCATGTCACTAAAAACAAACAGTCTCTTTATCATTTGTTCCTCACTTAAATTCCCCTTCACAGCAATTTCAAGAATTTTATCAAACACTTTCTGAAAATCTGTATTCATGTCCCATTGCATTCTCCTAATAAACTGTCTTTTGTGACAAAGTTTCCCCTTTCACTATGTGAAATTCTGGATTCTCACTAAATGTAATTAGCTTTCCTTTCCAAGGTTCTTCACTAAGTTCAGAAATAAGTAGCCCTAAGGCCACAGAAACTTCCATTGGAGTCCCATGCATACTTCCTGATACATCACAAATTGCCATACAATTTGTTAATTTCCCCTTTTTAGCTAAATCATCAACCATTCTTTCCCATTGAAGCTCCGCAACTTCTGGCCCCGTGGAATCAGCCACTGATGCTATTATCTCATGTGGTAGCAATGCACCAGCCGCGATTGTTGTTTTCCCACTCTTCACATCATCAAGATACTCCTCGAATCGTTCTTTATCGTGCTTGTAGAACAACTTCTTGTACAATTTCATCGCTATAGATGGGACACGCTTATAAGGAAGCTCATCCCATTTATTTGCACAGATATACACCTCTGGAATCTCCAACGCCTTGTGTAATGGCACGAGCACTTCTTTCCTCAATCTATCCCTCACACGATAAGCATAATGCGCGTCTTCAAGATCTTGATACTCAATATAATCGTCGCGAGGGAATAATTTTCTTCCAATACTTTCACACATTAACAATGCCTTATCATAAGATGAATCAAGAGATGGACACCATTTAGCCGCGAGGCTAAGTTCATACAATTTCCCTTCATTGTACAACTTCATGTCTTCCTTCAAAGCATCAGCAAAAAAACTAGAGACTTTATCATACAAGAATTGAAAATTACAATCTTGTGTATACCTATCCAATAATTTCTTTGCCTTAGCTATAGTTTTC